GATGTGGAAAGTCAAGGCCAAAGTGGTCCCAGTGGTGGTAGGAGCACTCGGGGCCATGACTCCTAAGCTGGGAGAATGGCTCCAATAGATCCCAGGAACAACATCTGAGCTCTCTGTTCAGAAGAGTGCAGTGCTAGGAACAGCTCAGATCCTGCGCAGAACCCTCAGACTTGCAGGCCTCTGGTAGAGGACCCGAGATTGAGGAAGACACGTACCACCCATAGGGGTGAGGGGGATTTTTTTTAATAAACATTTTTATAATAAAGATATAGCTTATAAAAAGCTAAAAGATATAAAACAGAAAGTATATATCTTAAAGGAAACTAAAAGTAGGAGTAGGAGCATTAGAGGGGTGTAGGGGAGCATAAAGATTAGTATGTGGCAGACTATATCTATCAAATTACAGAGCACTCTAATACGGCGAACTAGATGCTCGTTAAGTCTAGTTTATGGCACAGGTCATCATCTGATGAATTTTAAGTGCTGCTACACAGAACCTGGTAACCTTGTATGTTGTAGCAGGGTTGGCGTCTGAAAGCAGCAGGGAGGTGTAGAATTTTCCTGCACCCTGGGTATTTATGCAGTAATGGTGAGGTGAGGCTAGTACGAATGTCTCTGTAATACAGGCAGTGGAGAAGCACATGCTCTGTTGTTTCTGTGTGTCCAGAGTCACAGGGGCACTGTCTCTCTGGGTAGGGGATCTTCCTGTATTGGCCTTCAAGGTTAGCTGAGGGGAGAGCATGAGTTTCTGAGCATCGGCATTTCATTTTGCATAGGTCCTCCAAAGGAAATGCAGTGATGACCTCTGGGTTGATGAAGCATTGAAGTTTTTTTTTTTTTTTTAATTTTTAAATACTGCTGTGATAAGGAGGGAGGAAATACCCCCCAACACGGACTACAGAAGATCAGATCGCCAAAATGTAGTAACCAAATGGCCGATCTGTAGCAGTCATTTGCTTTTGTTTTACATTCTCCAAAATAAGGATGGAGATCAGATCAGCATCTTCTATATCCACCCTATCCTCAAAGAATCTGAAAACCCACTTTCAAAATTTGACTTATTTTGCTGTTAGATTTCAGCAAGACTACTTGGAAGAGGGTTTGGATAGGGGAGGGTTTCTAAGGTGGAAATGAGATCAGTTATATCCTAGGTGTTACCCAGTTCCATTCTTACCTTCAAAATCCCCCTCCCCAAAGAGCAATGATTGGCCCCACTCCATCCTGTGATATCTCCAGGCTTCCAGCAATATCATGTGCAGTCCTACAGATGATTGAAAGATTCAGTTGTGGCTAGACAAGACTGTCCAGTGTTTCAGAAATAATTAGAGAAAAGTATTGTTGCTTTCAAGCAGTACAGTACAAAGGAGCTACTTTTGCTCCCACATACTCCAAATCAGTTTCAAACTGTTAGATAGCTTTAAGTTTGGTCCTCCTAAAAGATTCTGATGGTTTACATGCAATGCATTGAGCAAGTCACGCTTGGTGCTATACCTCCTGTTTCTATGGTTGCCCCTGTATTTTTTTGAAATATTAATTTTAATATACAAACAATAAAAAAGCATTATATATGCAAGATAGGATAAAATGATAGTTTCTAAATGTAAAAGATTGCTTTCTGAATTATACCTTACACAATCAAATAAATTAAACCAGAATTAATCCAGAATAACTATCATACCTTACTCCATACTTACAGCCATGGAAGTAGAATGAAATTCTCATTCTCCTCTGTGCGTGTATGTGTTTAATACATTTTTGTGAAAGGCTAATTAAAATGTAACATGTAAGTGATGGTCAAGTATTTTACATGATGCTGAATAAACAGAACATGTTTAGAAGGTTGCCCCTGTATGTCTTATCAAAATTGCCCACTTGGCAGAAGACCCACAAAAGGTACCCCAGCAGCTACCATTACACTATGCTCTGCATTCATGGAGTAATTCATGAGTACATTCCTTCAAACATCTAGGGAAACACAAAGCCTGATATGAAAACATTACACAGCATGGCTGCACCCATATTTCCTACCTTGGGCTCTGGACCATGAAGGTAGGTGAAGGTTCATCACAGGTTACATCCCACTGCAGGATTGGACAGCACATCGTTCTCTCACACAGAGAGAGGCAGGTAAGCAAGTTGTAAGCAAACATGGGTGCAAGGAAAGCCAATGGTTCAAGATACTTTAGGTGCCACTATTCACACATGGCTTTCTGAATGATAACCTTGTGGCTGTATTCCCTGATTGTTTATGTGCCATCCCATCTCCTGCTCGGCACCTCTGGCTCCGTCTTGCTATTATGTTTCATAGTTAGCTTTGTGACAGGCTGGCCAGCCACCCTGCCTCCAACCTACCCTTTCCCCTCAGTTTTGCAGAGAGAAATGAGAAACATGTGCAAACAAAGAACATAGAGGCAAACAGATAACATGCATAGGCAGATACAAATTCTTGGAAAAATAACTCTATGGGGTGGCAGGTAGACGGTCACATCTCTACTTGTAGAAGCATCAAATGGTCCACATTGAAAAGTCTGGGGATCTCTCTTTGCACATGGTTCAAAGCTTCAGGCCCACCCTCAGACATTTAATCCAAATTATGGTGGACCAGGTTTCCAGATTCTTTCATGAGAATCAACTCCAGCTGACTGGCTATGACTATCCATGCAATCAAACCAAATGAGCTGCGAAAATCTGGTTTTGCTTGCCTTTATAATAGTCCATAGTAGGCTACGCTGCATTGTGCCATAATGACCTCCCCTATTTGATTCCTGATTGCTGGAAGGGGTGGTACGAAACAGAATAGTAACCGAACAGAGAAGGAAAGGAAAATATGAAATCATTCCAAAAATAACTCTGGCCAACATTGCGCTCACCCATTCATTTACTGAAATCTTATGAAACATTATAATTGAGAGACAAGGAGTAATTCCCCACCTTAATCCCTTCCTGGAAAATTTTTCAAAATCAGAATACATTATGAAGGAGGAATGAAGAGATAAAGTTGAAATAAACAGGTTCAGTGTTTTAAAGACGCCCTTTCTATCCCTCCCAATATTTCTGTTTCAGCAGGTGGATCTAGCCTACCTTCAGGTTGGTATTGTGCTATAATGGTCACCACCTGGCCAGCTCCTTTGAGTGCCGCAGCGGCTTGTTCATGTGTAGCACCACGAAGATCAATCCCGTTTACCTGCAGAGGAAAGAGAAAAGCCAGTGCCACGTAACTTAAGTTCCATCATGCAGATATAGATCTCTCCGTAGAAGCATTTTTTTTTGTTTCTTCCCCCATTTCCCCAAACATAACTCTCTAATTCAGTTATATTTAAGGGCTGGTGGTTCTTCGTAGAAGTTTGGAATCGGACCTTGGAGATGATAGCTTAAGAACATACAGTGAAAACAAGCCGGGCCCTGCTGGATTGGAATCCTGGCCCATCTAGTCCAGCAGTTTGTTCTTACAGTGGCCAACCAAGTGCCCATTTGTCTCCCAGAAGATAGCCTTCAGAGACAGTCACATTGATTGCGTGGTTGAATTATTTATTTTGTCTATCTGCTAACTGGATGGCTGACATTCAGATAAAGTTCATAACTTAACTGTTGTAACATAAAAATAATGATAATCTGAAACAATGAAATGGCAAAAACACACCAATAGCAACAGATCATTCTTACCAGCCATTTATGGCTTTCAAGATCAAGGCCAACACTTAAAGTGTGCCAGATTGGCAACTAGCAGCTGGTGAGATCTTTCAGGACAGGCATCACCCAATCTCTGTATCTTGTACTATTTAGCAGTCTGGCTGCTGCATTTTGCATCACAGCAACTTCCAAGACCTTTTCAAGGAGTGCCCTGGGTGAAGCACACTGCAGTCCAAGACCGGGTAAGCTAAAATCCAGAGGTGCATGTAGCTTTTAGTGTTACTTCTTGGCTCAAAGGTAGGTAAAAGTTACCAACCCCTTCTCTGCAATCATGATGCATAGAAGGTAGACTACAAGAGTGGTCCAACAGAGAGGGATAAAAGGGGGGGGGGTCAAAGAGAGAAAGGGATGGGTTCCATCAGTTTGTTTACAGCCACACCCACTGCTTGCTCCAGCCCCACCCCCTTGTTCCTCAACAGATCGCTCCTAGGGAAATGGAAGCCTCCACAAAAATAAAAACTTGTCCACCTCTAATTTAATCCAGTCCCAGATGTGTGTTCAGATGAAAGCTGGAACTGGCAACCAGCATTCCTGATGGAGCCAGACCCCACCATGATTTCTTGTGGCAGTCTATTCCAGGGTCAATCCTTAAACCACTTAGCTGTTCCTAGTTCTGCCTTCCTCAGCCAGACATAGAGGAGATGTCATGTCTTTCTGACCTTTGAAGAGCAACAGAATGTCTCCCTACTTCTTCTCTTCACCAGGACCTACTTTTATATACCTTTCCTCTGTCCCGTCACTCTGTCCTGGACATGTTCCAGTTTAGCCCTGTGCTTTTCAAAATGTGTCAGCACCCTCTAGTGGTAAATCTGTTTCTTTCCAATTGTGAGTGCTAATGCCAGAAAGGCTCCTTTTTTCCTCAGTCTGGGGTGTAAATGTCAGTCACGGGACCCTCTGTCTGGAATCCAAAGTGATTCAGGTTTGGTGTAACACAGACTGAATCTGTGTCTGAAGACACAGACGTCAGGCAAATTTCCTTTCCCCTTTCCTCCACTGAGGCAGCATGAGTGGTGGGGGAAGAAATGTTGATGATGGGGAAGCAAACAGAGAAGGCAGTGTGAACACTGAGTTCAGAAATCTCAGCTTTTTGTGCAGAATTCGGATGATTCTTTTTTTTTTTTCCTGCCAAGAGTGCAAGCAATTCCCGATTATATTACATAACAGAGGCAGATGTTGTATTTAGCACCTTTATTTTTTTGTAGCAATGGCAAGTCCAAAGGGGCACGTGCGTCCTTCTCTGTTCCCACCCACCCACCCTTTTTTCTTTTAGATCTTCGCCTTGAGCTATTACTCTAGTCTGTGCACATCTGTTTGCTTTATTACTTGTCTCTTCACCCTGTTTAGGTGCCAGATGGCAACGGTAAAGAAAGAAATAGCCCATCACTGAAAATACATAGGGCAATTTCACAAATTGACAATAAAATACTCTTGAAAAAGATCTTCCAGAAGTCTTCTTACAAAACCTACTCTTTGAGTTTGGTAGATCTCGCAGGGAAAAAAGTCTCAGCGATGGGAAATAGTGATGGTGAACAGCCTGATCTTTCTCAGGCTTGGAACCCTCACTATGGCAAGACTATAAGCCAATAACATAACTCATGATTATATTGGTTGATAATGATGGGACAGGTGTACAAACCAAAATGAGGACTTCAAGAGAGATGGTAGGGACGGTTCGTTCAATCGCCTTGCAGTTTCTCAAAAGTTCTCTTTCCATGTGAAAGAAGTTTCTGTTTTTCTACCTCATTCCCCAAAGTGCTTTCAAATTCCCCTTGCTGCTATTTGTGAGCTGACGTGTGATTGAAGATAGCAAGAAGATCAGAAATTATGGGGGAGGAGAGAGAATGATTGGATTCTATTTGATTTTGGAATGAGTTCCCCCCACCAAGGTGCCGGTAGCCCCAAACCATCTTAGCTCTGCTCTGTGGAGCAGAGGCGGGTGAAGAGGGAGTCGGAACGGAGCAAATGTTAAAAACAGCATGGTACCACTGCAATGTTTATGTATTGTGATTAGTTTAAAATTTTACAATGTAGTTCTGCTGCTAGGTTCACATAACTTGCTGTGCCCAAACAAATTAATTATATTATGCCTTACATCCATTTCTTGTGCAATGGATACAAAGCATGCAAAGATATGGATGTAAGGCTTCTTTAAACTCAACTGCAAAAAATACTCAGCTCCCTTTTAGTCTAATGTAGAATGCTGTGCAAATCTGTCCCTTGTCTGACACACAGAGAGAAAACTTGTATATAAAATGGTCCACCATACACATCTTTGTAATGTGACATTTTGTTAAGTTAGCTGGACAGGCAGATCTAAAGCACCACCATAATTTCATAGCAAGAAGATCAGAAATTATGGGGGAGGAGAGAGAATGATTGGATTCTATTTGATTTTGGAATGAGTTCCTCCCACCAAGGTGCCGGTAGCCCCAAACCATCTAGCTTTTCATGGAGCTGTGGAGACCTTTCTCTTCCCTTGCACACTGGGGAATCATTAGGGCCCTAATGATAACTGAGTCCATTCTGTTAAGAAAGGGAGTGGTTATTATTTTCAGCCTTAGCTACAAGTATACAATTGTGGTGTTTATATTGGCTTTATATGTGTATACTCCACTCAGAGTCATAAACTATGAGTTGTGCAGCCTTATAAATCCTACAAACAAACAACCAAACAAATATTGTTCCCAGCCATGGTGGCAGCACACAGCCAGCCTTGGTTGAACTCAAAGAAAGTTAATCAAGATTAAGACTATAGAATACTGTGGGAAGTTGGTTAAAAGAATCCTGAAAGAAGATAATGCCAAACCACTTGGCCAGTATTTCCCAAACACTGTGCATGATGGTGTCCATGAAGTCACCAGAACCTGATCACAATTCAAGGGGGAACTGATTTTGTTATTAGAAGTGGCTGAGCAAGCATGAGGGAGTAAGACAAGCATGTGCTGTGGGCTGACATGGAAGATAAAATGAGGGAATGACTAGGAGAAGAACAGCTAACCATGGATGGAACCAAAGTTGCTGAGGAGGATCCTCAGAAACAAAAGGGGCCATCATAAAGACACAGTCCAGCCCAGCAGGAGGCATTGTCTGCGAACGTCACTGATGAAGTCATGATCGCTTGAGGGTGGAGAAGGCAGACAGGAGGCAAATGTGTAGGAAAGGACATTTTTTTTCCATGCTGGAGAAGCAGAAAAACACAAGGCAGCAACATTTATGGAGGAGAATGGCTTTTCTTTTCTGCCACAGAGATGCACTTGAATAAGAGATGCTAAAAGTCAGGTACAGGAGAAACAAAGCAGGGAGGACTTTGCCTGACTTGGAACCACAACCTGGATAAAAGGAATATTAAGATAAAATAATTTTTAAGATCGAGAAGAAGGTAAAATACTTGGTATTACTATGACAAACATGAATTGTATTATTTCAGAATAACTATGTTAAGACATGGAATGAAGTTTAAAAAGGTGTGGTAAAAGGGGAGAAAATACAATTGTGTTTGCTGGGGAGAATTTCTGTGATTAAGAGGAATGTTTTACCCAGAATGTTATTTTTGTTTCAATACCTGTTTTGACAAGTGATGCATCATTTAAACAATGGCAGAAAGATATATCTAAATTTATGTGGCAGGAAAAAAACCCCACGAGTTAAATATAAGGCGTTAAAAGATATAAAAGAAAGAGGAGGATTGGGTTTACCTGATTTGAAATTATATTTTGCAGCTTGTTGTTTAGTTTGGATGAAAGAGTAGATGTTGCTGAAAAATAGGAGGCTTTTGGAGTTAGAGGGACATGACTTGAGATTTGGGTGGCATGGATATTTGTGGTATGACAAAGCTAAGGTTAACGTAGGTTTTAAAAATCATTATATTAGACATGCCATATTGAGAATATGGAATAGATACAAATCCAGGTTGTGCCTAAAAACACCTCTGTAGCTCTCAGCACAAGAAGCATTTTACAGTCGAAAAATGATAAGTAAACACAAATGGCTAACTTATCATGAGATATTAGAATTTTGTCAAAGGGAATGTAAAATAAAATCAAGAGAAGATCTGGTGGCACAAGAACACACTTCTCAATGGTTCTCTTACGTACAATTATTAGAAAGATTTAAGGTAGACAAAAGAATTTTTGTTTTTGAACAGTGTAAGGCTGAGTTTGAACTAGAATTGTGTACCAATGATGAACATGTCATCGCTAAAATGTACAAACTATTATTGACATTTGAAACAGAAAATGAACAAGTGAAAGAATGTATGATAAAGTGGGCCAAAAAGTTTTGGTTACAATATACAAATGGAACAGTGGGAGACTATGTGGCTGAAAGGGCTGAAATTTACATTATGTTATAATCTCAAAGAGAACTTTTATAAAATGATGTATCGTTGGTATACGTCACCGGAGAAATTGTCTAGAATGTATAAAGGTACTTCAAATTGGAAATGTGAACAACAAGAAGGGACATTTTATCATGCTTGGTGGACATGTAAAAAAG